TACTCACTTCAATAGGGATTTTTAAAATGTGAGCTAGGCTTGAGGGGGAAAGGAGGCAGTGATAAAGAAAAAAAATTAAAATGCCAAGGGGATAACTATTTCTGACAGAGTAAACAAAATTGTCTCAAGAATCAGAATGTATTAGCAATAATCTGGCCTCCCCCCTCCTCCCTCCCATTTTGTAGATGAGTTAACAAGAGGCTAACAGTTAAAGTGATTTATCTGAAGTCACAAATGTAACAGCCCCAGGGATGATGGGGGAAGTGGAGGAGAGGGAATTCATATCCCTGTAGTCTACCTATATGATATTTATTCAACATTTCCCCCATCACACAATTCATATGTCAACAAATCCTATGTTTCCTATAATACATTAAAAGGTTAGTGAAGATGCTATTCTTCATTAAACATCTACATCTAAATATCTCCTTATGAATAGGTACTGTTCTCTCTTTTTCAATCAATGAAGGCAGAAAATAATTCCTGCAATGCATTTCCATTTCTTTGGCTGGTATCTCTAAACAGTTAAAGGGGCTTGAGTTTCTATGGAACTAGGTCAACCTTATTTTACAAAGCGATTAAGCATGTGTAATCCAGCCCATCCCCTAACTCCGAGTAGGAGGGAAAAGAAATAGTGAGCCAATAGAGCAGAGACCTCACCCATAGAGGAAAAACGGCAGTTCAGGACAGGATATATGCGCACGCAGCATGAACATTCAGCCATTCCAAAAACAGCCCCTCCCTGCCGGCTCTCTCCCTTTTTCCTGTTAAACTGGGCAGGCCTCAACACACTGAGGTGACTCACCACACAACCTCACGGGGGCTGGAATCGGGTCATATACTCACAGGCTAATAAAGCCAGCCACCAATACAGCAACTTCTGAGGATCTTTACCTCTAGCAGTCTTCAGCATTCTTACCCCAAAAGGTCTATTAACCTCAAACCTCCAAGTATTATAAACAACTCTATTATGACCCTAAAAGTCACTGTATCTCAACAAAATAAATCTACTCAAATTATCTAGGTACAACTGAGATATATCCAGTCAAATAGAAATATAAACAATAGAAACCATAGCTAGATACCACTCTCTCCAACTCCTACTGCCACTCCAATACACACACAAACCTAAACAGAAGGAAACAAAAACACAGAAAATCAGATGTATTCTGGACTTCTGCATTGCAAGAGAACGGGCTGGCATTAGTACCTGCTGCTCTATCTTCCTTACTGTTATCCTCTGAGAACACATATTTCAGACAATTCACTGAAAACTAAATAAAAAGAACACCAAGGATAGTATTCTTTCTCTTAGCCTATTTTATAAAGGAAGTCTAGGATATATTAGTAACAAAATAAATAACATCCTAGGCTATCAAAGCAAAGAAAAACTGAGGCACCAATAGCAGAGAAGCTCCATATCTTACCCATTGCCTCTGTTTCCTGCAAATCTAAGGGAATTTGCATCTTTTGACCTGGATATGTCCTAACATGCCTCATTTAACAAGAGTGAGGGCTACCCTGGAAACTGGAAGTTTTCTCATCTTACTATCTGCTTCTCTGTGCTATTTACTTCAATTGAGAGCTGCTCTGACAGAAGAGCTTTAACTAACACTTACCCAGGCAGAAGCCAGATTGGCTCCAGGCAAACACTAAGGAGGAACCACATCAGGAGAACAGGATGCTAATATGGAAACAGACTTTTTTTTTTTGCCTAAGGACTCAAAGTCTTTAAAAATTAGAAAGTGGTCTAACCAAATATTGCTTTATAAAACTGCAAAAATAAAACTATTTGAAAACACAGTTAATATGATAGGGCAGAAAAAATTATTTGCCAATCTTAAAATGTGGAACTGAGCTCTTGTTGCAAAATAAATCACAGAAAGAGTTTAGATTAAAATAATAATCCACAGGACTTACTTTTGGGAAAGGGATGACAGAAGATTACATACCCCCTCCTCACATAGCAAATGTAATATTTATAATTCCTCTTACCTGATGTACAAATACATCTTCTTTGGTGTCATTTCTGTTGAAAGACAAAAAGCTCACAATTAAAGGTAGTAGGTATGTGGAAAAACTTAAAAGAACCTATGTGTTATTAATTTAAATCCCAAGTCCTCAAAACACAACACATATTTTCACTTATTTTCTACACTCAATTCAGACACCTAAAATCAATCCTTGTTAAACATTTCTAACTCCACAAGCCACCCACCTTCTTCCACATTGCCACAGTGCTTAGATCTAAGCTCATAGACTCAACATACAGAAACATCCCCTTCCTCTGTCTCTTTCTGAATCACATGGTGTGTAATCAGAGCCTTAGATTTTCCTCCCAGCAAAAGCAAAGCAAGACAGTTAAAAGGACAGGGCACAGCTGTGAACTAGGCTCTCCTTACACTGAAACTTAAAACAGTCCCCCACCCCCACCCCACCAAAGGAGACAAGAAATTGGAGGAACTTTAAGAAAGGGTGGGAAAGCAAAGAAAATGTCGATATCATGTAAAAACCTCAGAATACACTCCCAACATCTTGTAGTTGTGTTCTCATTCCTGTATGGTTAAAAGCGGCCACAGTTTAGTTTCTACATAGGACTAGACCAGAAGTGGGTTAAAGATCCAGCTCAAGTACTGACTAGTTGGGTGACCTTAGGAAAGCAGCTTAACCAGTCTAAGACTCCATTTCTCCATCTGTGAAATTATGGATATTGTCTCATTTATCCTAAGGCCCTTCCCATTTCTGATTTTATCCCCTCCTCCTTTTTTTCCTTAATGACTAGACTTTACGAAATAAGTTAGTGTCCTGGAAATGTATTTTAAGTAATATTTAACAACCAGTAGCTTAGAAATAAGAACATTACAGTGCTTAGAAACCTAAAAAATTTATATAAGCCATTAATGAAGTATGATAAGGGATTTATAACTGTTAGTGCCACAATATAAGTATAATTTAAAACATGCAAATACACACATACATACCGATTTATAAATCCATATCCATTTCTGACGTTGAACCATTTGACAGTGCCAAGGACTTTGGTGGCTAAAATAGGATTAAGCAGATAAATTAGTATCTGACCTACAAAGAGATAAAGCTCATATCACTAAGATCTTGATAACATTAGACAAAGCCTAAACATACCTAAAGAAACCTTTAAAAGCTTAATTCCAAAATACATTAGAAAAAGAAAATGGAGCAAGCCAAGATAGTCTAAGGAAGCACTTTTCAGAAGACTAAACCTTTCTTCCTTATTCAACTTTTCAGTAAAGTCACAAGATAAGCAGTGATTATGTCTATACAATTCTGTAATCATTAAAATTGAGAAACACTGAAGGAAAAAAAAATGTTCAAGAAGAATGTTACAAGTTTTAAGCTAGACAAATGTTGTAAGTTCAAAAGAGGGGCTACAATAAAAGAGTGAAAGACCTTAATACATCACTTTCATACTTCGAAATATTAGGCAAACTTGAATGAGAAACATGGTAGCTCCTTGTTAACAGGCACTCTAGAAAGACGTAAAGCAACTTGTCCAGTTGCCAAATGGGAGCCCATCAGAGGAGTCAAGAATAATAATAGAACTGCTGCTGTCTCAATCCAGTCCGGTACTTACCACCCTGAGACATGATATAACAGGTCTTTTCAAACCACATGATGAATTTGGGTTTGTTTCTCTGTTTACCTTGCTCTCTACAGTTGTGCGAATCAAACTTAAGCATTTTCCATAAAATCCCCCTCTTTACTGTGATCGCTGTCTCTACCTCATGAACAGGACCACTTCTCTACAATGCCTGGTTTTAGCAGAATTAAGAGAAGGAATCTAAACAAAATAAAACTTCATGTAACTTGTATTTTGTAGGTTTATATTTATCTCAACTATTTCATATATGATCTTTGGAATCAATCGTGAATGACAAATTCAGTACTTCTAGGAAATGTCCCTGTCTAAATTCAGGAAGTGCAAAAAGCAATTATCTAGACTTAATGAAACAGGAAACCTGATAATAGATTACCTTAAAGACAAAATAAACAAAAAAGGCTCAGTAGAGAATGAAAGTAATTATTAACATCAATCCATGCTGTCTCTTCATAAAATACAAAGTTTATAATTTCCAAGGATAAACAATAAGGCTTCACTTTTAAATTCAAAACTAAAATAGTAATTAGGACTCGCTCTGTTGTAGGCAGGGTTAGTTCTGAATTTTGCTAGACTGATACACTTGGGAAAATACTTTAGCTCTCTTTGTGGGGGGGAAAGAAAAACAAAAACAAAAAACATGTCTTTATATCTCCAAAGTTATGCAGTCTACATTGATTAGGGATTCTCCAGCTTTAATTCCAAAGATCTCTCATCTCTCCAAAGGAGAGATCAAACCCAGGCAATCTTACGCTTGAGGCCACTCTAATCGGAGCAGCAAGGCAAAGGACAAAAAACCAGTTGAAGTTTTAGATGTAAATGTACACAGAAGAGGCCCGTTTTTGATACATGCATATGCATTTAAGTCAGGCAATATTCCAAATAATATGCTTTTAGTGCCTCTTTTTATTTGCCCAAAAAATTAATTACCTGGGAAAATATAAAGACTGGAACTGTTTTTTAATATCTAGCATTGTTGATGGAATAATCTTGACTAAAAAGGCAAAACTAATAATACAAGGAAAAGATGATAAATAATTCTCAGGGCTAGCCTCAATCCAGGCTGAAGGTTATTTTTACTCTCCAATGTAGTTTAAAAAAAAGTTTTGTAATTCCACAAATACTTCTCTGAGGACTTTATATGATCAAATTCATTCCCACTTCTTGCTTTAAACCATAAACCTACTACATATACACTAAGGGGAAGGTTTGGGGAGGAACACCATAGATTTCCATAATATTTATCAGAAGGAAAATTTTTTTGCACTCGTGAAAACAATTTTTCCTGGTCTATGTGCCTATAAACTCAAGTTAAGCCCATTTGCAAATACTAGAACATACCCATTTTAGTCAGCACTGTGCCTAGCACATCTTAGGCATCCATGTGTTTGCTTGGCAAAGGAAAGGGGATGGCAGGACACACTAGACAGAGACAAACAGTGTTGAGGCGTCATGTAGAAACGGCTGTCCTTCATTTTTAGAGAGATGCAGTAAGAGTGGAAAGATAAAAGTCATCAGACTCATCACCAGGGATCTGCAGAGGCAGTTGGTTAAGGAAATCAACCTTCATTTATCTGTTTCCCTCATCTTTAAAGATAGTAGTATCTGCTTTCCCAATCTCAGAACTGAGTACAGGATTAAGTGAAAAACCGCAAAAGTTTTCTACAAAAATAAGGCATCATTAAGAATGTTATCTTAACAGTGCTTTGGAGAACACAAGGTTGTCTCTCTCAGACATCTGGCAGAAAGTGTTCCAATAAATATTTGCTAGAAACAACATCACAATGTACTACTGACTAGATTTAAGTAACTTTTAGTCCAGTAAAATGAGGCCTATTTTGTTTCTTAACCTACACAGGTTACAATCACCATGTTGTTTGGTAGGGACTTAGTAAAAGCCCTGGAAAAAAAAGAGGAAAATAGTCCTCTCAAGGTGGGGAATATTGAAAGGTGTTACACTTTTCTCACATTGTTCCCTCAACTTTCTTCCCAAAGGGGAAGTAGGGCTCAGAGAGATCAGACAAACATGCCGCACCCCAAATAGTGAAAATGTCTCCGAAGCATCCTACACCATCTGTTAACATTCCTGTGTTCCTGTTTAAAAGAGTGAACGATATGGACACACACCCTTTAGGGAGGTTATTCACCACCCACCTGCTTTGCAAGCGTTTAAGAACTCACACAGGGCGTTACTTAAGAACAGAACGCTTAAGTTACGTGACTAAACCAACAACCATCACAGAAACCCTTTCCATCCACTGCTCCCCTCCAAATCTGAACATTTCATCTTCCTGTTTCCCTTCCTAGGTTACAAGTGCCAAGGTAACAATGTTTTGAACTAACGTCATACTCCTACTTCCGACGAAGTTTTTTCAGCTGCTACACCACGTGCGTTCCCACAGTCCGGGAAGAGGGAAGCGTGTAGCCATTGGTGGACACTGAATGGCTGTTTGCAGCAGTGGGCACAGAGAGGGGGAGGAGGACGTGGGACTAAGATCCAAGTTTCCCGGAGACGATTGCAACACCTCTTTGCTGGCATGGAGCCGACAGGAGCATGGCGTCTTTCCCATGCCCATGTGGGAAGGGCGTCAGGGAGAGACACCCGACCCTTTCTGGCAAGAAGCTTTTCTATCTTTCCCTCCCCGTTTCCTTCTAGCGCCTTCCTCTTCCCCAAAGGAATGCTCTCCTTTCCCAGATCCCAAGCAAGGACCCAAAGTGCCAGGCCCACGTGTCCGTCCTTCCCCTACGTCCACATCCATCTCTACCCAAGGTCCCCTCTCCCAGACCGCCTCTCTTTTCCTCTCCAAACGCAGGCATTTTCCAACACGGCAATCCGCGACAGTGCCCGTCTGGTAGACAGAAGTTAAGACCTAAACTTTCTGGCCCGGAACCAGAAGGTAGGTGCACGCGGCGGCGAGGAGCGCAGGGCGCAGCGCGCTCACCTGGGAGCGCCAGCAAGGGAGGCGGCCAGCGGCGGCCGGAACTGGGGACGCGGAGACCCCCGGGGACCCCGTGCTGTCAGCGTCTCCAGCCCGGGTGGGAGATGTAGCGCGAGCTGCCCACACGTGCTCCGCGGCCGGCCGGGCCCGCCCCACTACTGCATCCCCTGCCCTCCCCGGCCTGACTCACCGAGAACTTTTTTCTCCGCGTCTTCGCTGCCGGCGGCGGTGGCTAAAGAGGTGGCGGCCGCGGTACCCGTGGCTGCGGGGGCCGCGTCCCCACCCGGGTTTCCTGCGACGTGGGCGGCGGGCGCCGGGGCCGCGGCCTGGGGCGCACCGCTGCCCACCGGGCTCTTGGGCGCGGGGTCCTGGGGAGCCGCGGCGGCCGCCTCCGTCGGAGCCTGCGGGAGGGTGGTCGTGGTGGTGGTGGTGGCCTCGCCCGCCTCGCTCATGCCTCCTCCTCCTCTGCTCTCGCTCAGGCGCCTCGGTGGCGGTTGGTCGGCGGTTAGCGCGGCTGGTGGTCGCGGCGGCCCGGGCTCGCTCTCGGGGAGGCCGGGGCGGATCTCGCGGCGCAGGCGGCGGCGGCCGAGGTGGGGTCGCGCGGCGGAGGCGGCTCGAGCTTTGGGCTGCGCGCTCGTTCTTGGGCTCCTCGCTCGATCTTACTGCCCCAAAAATGGCCCCGCACAAGTTTTTCTAGGCGGCGCACCGGCCCGGGAGGGAAGGGCGGGCGAGGGGAGAGGGTGGGGAAACTTGGCTTGGGAGTCGGGCCCTGGGCTCTCATTAGCATTTAAAGGCGCCCGGTGCCCTTTCCATGGCTCCAATCCGCCGGGACGCGAGCGCGCGGGCCGCGTTGCAGAGCCAAGGAAAGCCAGGGTGAACGAGGCGCCTGGGTGGTCGTCTGGAGCGTTCCGAGGAGCCCGCGCTGCTGACCCTTTGTTGGAGCGGGGTGCAGGGGCTCTCCTCCCTCAACCCATCTTGACACCCGCAGCTGACCTATAGGAGAGGTAAAATAGGGCACCCAAACTACTCTGCGCTTTACTGTCTCAAACACTTGTTTTTAAATCCTTTGCATCTAGTCAGTCATTCAACATATATCAAGCCTCAGCAGCTATTCGTAGCACAGCCATTAAGAACTGGAATAATAAAACCTTAAGACTATTTGGCAACTTACTCCTGAAAGGTAATATACGGATAATTTCATCTGTAACACGCAGATGAGGAAATTGACCTCACAGATTTAATGTAAATTCAGAGTTTACACCAATTTAACCGCGACAAATAATGAGCTGTCAATATATATTTAATAAGGTACTTGAAAAAAGCTGAATAAATCCACGTCCTACCTTCTGCTCCAGTTGCCTCTGCCAGCTGGTGAAAGCTTAAGGAACTGAGCCCTCTTAGCCTCCAGGATGAGAGGTATAGAGAAACAGATCACCCAATCAACATTATTCCCAACTTGACGAGCCCGCATGGCCCTTTGAGAATGGACTGGATGGTACTAAACACAGGGCCAAAGGGTCTGGGATCTATACCCAAAGACTGTCTGGAATACAGGATTATTTGGCCCCTAGGGTTCAGACAGATGAGGTATAAATTCTGGCTCTGTTCTTTATTAACCAGGTTAACTTGGGACAGAGATTCAATGTCCCAGAGTCGGTTTCCTTCTTTATGAGAGGTTCTCAAAGGTGACATGAAAAATAGATGAGATTATCATGTGTAACTCCAGTGTCCGGTCCACTTAAAGCTCCTTCGTTTTGTTTGTTTTTTAAGTTATTGCCTGTTCCCTCAAACAGTTTACCAATTTTTTTTCCAGGAATGAATCTGTAATGTTGATGTCTACCTTACATCAGTAGGGTAACTATCAAGTGTAATTCATCTTTGTATCTTCACTGGTTAGTACAGTATGTAGCATAGAGTTTGGACATAATACATTTTTACAGAATGAAAACAGACCAAATTCTTCCAAACTCAATTACTTAACTGCACATTTGCTATCAATTATGAAACTTCCCTGAATTCTTACTTTCTTGTTTCATCCACAGAAAACACAAAGAAATTATTTGAAAAAATGGCAAATTATGGAATTTTGAGCTTTTCTATGTAATTCATCAATATTTTAAAAATTACAAACTCTTAAATGTTAGATTCATATTTTAGTTTGACTTCAATATGGAGCATACAGCGATGTTATATAAATGCAGATGCTTTTAAAATGCTGGTCTAATTCTGAGAATGATTAAATTATTTCTTAATTTGAAAGGTTATGCTCTTAATTACAATTAAATTATAAGAATGATTTATTCTGGTGAGGACTGACCATTGACTTTCTTATTCAGCAAAATGTTTATCATTGCCATTACCTTTCAGAATTACATTACAGGAAAAAAGAGATTAAACTCTTCAAACCGATCCAAAAGTAAAGCCTTTTAAAAAAATTCATCCTTGGAAATAATTCATAACTAACAGGTGTGGTCTCCAACCTCTGGAAGACCCTAAAATAATTACAGATGCACCCTGGGATTTCCTAGAATTTGTGCTGGACTGGCTCCCAAAACTACATATCATTGTCATCCAAAAAAAGCAGTGAGCAGCTGGAAGTTCTTGGTACTGGGCTAAATAAATCTAAAGAAAATTAGAACAAACATGATCTATGTTGTTTTCATAATCATAACTAGGAAGCAACTTGGATACAGATACACATAAATTTAATCCATTCCGTCATTCACTAATTCATACACTCATATTTGCTAAGCAAAGACTTTGTCAAGTACACCATTATGAGTATCCAATGTTGACCAGAATGGAGCTGGTCATAAGGTCTTTTGATGTGATGTTAAATTATTTTTCACTATCAACATTTCTGTTGTAAGACAATATCATCATTTATTAAGTTTAAGTCAACAAAGAATTATAATCTAATTGCTGACAGCAATCATTTTTAAGCAATTATTGATTTGATCATAAAAACAAATGCCACTCTGTTCCTAGCATGGAGGAAGTTAAAGCTTTCACAACTGTTGGAAGGGCTGAAGGAGGGAAAGTCAGAGAAGCTCCGTTGAAGATCTCAGACTCCAGTCCCCAAGACAGTGGTTCTCAGGAGTTCTCCTTGAAGCCACTGGAGCCACAAGATCTTTCGGAAGTTCTCAGCAATTCAGGGCTGGATTCAGGTTTTGTGACACTTAAAACTCATACAATTTAGAGAGCCCTTTTTGAGATAAAGTTATGAATACTAAATTGCTATGAATACTAAATTGCTAGGACTGCTCCTAGAGTCTTAGAAAGGATCGGCACAAGATAGGAGCCCTGAAATTTAAACTTCATTAGCTTTACTTCTGTACCTGCTATCTCAGTCAGCACCACAGATGCAGTAAGTCCTCAAGAAGTTCATCTGGAAGCAGCTTCGATGCCCATGCATCTTTCTGTAACTGACTCTGGAATATAATGGTCTCCTCCTCTTCTTCCTTCTAAACTTTGAGCGAAAGCCTCTCATTTGCAGATTCCAACTTGGAAATACACAGGCCAGGAGGGAGATTCTGGGAAATGTAGTCTCTGCGTTTGAAGAAGCTAAGGTTGATGCTAAATTGAGAAGAGACTAGCATATCACCCTAAGGAAGAAAATGCAATTAATTGACTAAGGAGATTGAGGAGAATTCAAGTTATTCAAGGGACTGGAGCTTAAAGTAAGGAAGCATTGTATATTAGCATATTTGAAACTGGAAAACAGTGAAGTATTAATCTAAATTAATACAAAAAAGAACATGAGGGAAATGATCAGTTTGGAACAGAAAAGTTCAAGAATAAGAGAGTAAAGGTATTTCAGGATGTCTCCAGCAATGTTCACGGGGAGAGTGGACCTTGGTTATCATGCTCTGTTTGGCACTCAGTAATAGTGCATTCAGCACATTTATTAATCATTCCAATTCAGTGTTGAGAACATCATGCAAAACAGGACAGGAATGCCCCTGTATTGATGAATTTATGGTATAGACCCACACTGTCCCAATGGAAATATAATTTGAGTCCCAAGTGTGAACCAAATATTTAATTTTAAATTTTCAAGCAGCCACAATAAAACAGTGAAAAACAGATGAAATTAATTTTAATAGATTTTACCTAACCCAATCAATATAAAATATATATTATTTCCACATTTAATCAAGAGTAAAACTATGAATGATGTATTCTACATTCCTCTTTTTTTTGGTGCTGTCTTCAAAGTGTGTATCTTACACTTTTAAGACATCTTAATTTGAACTTACATTTAAAGAGTTCAGTGTGGCTGATGACTACCATATTGAGTAGCACAAGCCTTCTAGACAATTAGAAATTTAGCCTGAATAATTCTTCAAGATTCCATTGGGAAAAAGTCCTGGTCCTGAAAGGTGGACCATACATTAGTCTGTGGTTACCCATCAGGATAATGCTACCTGTTGGGCTGGTTTGAGCTTCCTTTGTGACATATAATAGCCAAAGAATTGGATATTATATCCAAACATGTAATTGGATATTATATCCAAACATATAATATCCAAACATGAACCATAATGCTGTAATTCTGAATAACTCTATAATGATGTCACTGATAATCTCTAGGGTATGTAAACAAAGTGAATTTACAATATCCATTCCATGTCACCACTGCCTTTATAGACTATGCTTCTTATTTAACTTTCACATATATTGGCCTACCATAGTGAAGATGTATTATAGGATTTCTTCCTTTTCATTAAGAGAACTAAGAATATGGTGGGGAATTGGCTGTGACTTTACTCTCCCCTATGGGAAGCTGGATTTAGAGTTCAGAAAATGTTGCACCTGTAGACCTGAAATTATTAAGCAGGAGAAAAAAAAAAAGCAATTACTGAGAAGTTTTAAAAAACCTGATTATTTCAACATATATTGATTTTATATAAAAGTTCCAGCTTCTAAGTGACGTTGTTGCATTTGTTTTGCTTTTACTTATTTTCTCAACTATGTAGATGTGTTTATAGTGTTTATTTAAAGACTAGCAGATGGATACAGTTTTGGTGAGGAACTTGAAAAGATTATCCGATAAATTCAAACTAGAAAGAAATTTATCCATCTCAACCCCACTCATTTTAGAAACAAGGAATTGCAGTTCAGAGATTAACCGACTTTCTCAAACTAATTTATGTATTTGGTGGCGAAGCTAGAACCAAAACCCGAGTCTCCTCAAACCCAATTCAGCACCCTTGCCACCATAAAATTCTGATTGACAAAATGTCCATGCTCTATCATTGAGTCCCCTCAAAAACAGAGCAAGGCAGCACTTTGGGAGGCCAAGGCGGGTGGATCGCTTGAGCCCAGGAGTTTAGGACCAGCCTGGACAACATAGCAAAACCCCGTTTCTACAAAACCAACCAAACAAACAAAAACTAACAAAAATTAGCTGTGCTGGACATGATGGCACATGCCTGTAGTTCCAGCTACTCAGGGCTACTCAGGAGACTGAGGTGGGAGGATCACTTGAGCCTGGGAGGTTGAGGCTAGAGTGAACTGTGATCGTGCCACTGTGCTCTAGCCTGGGTGACAGAGTGAGATCCTGTCTTAAGAAAACAAAGAAAAGAAAGAAAGCAAGGCTGTCTGGCCACAGAAGATAATGTTCAGATCTTTCCAATTAGGTCCTCTGGAGAGGAAACCAAACAGCTGTGTGCAATTTTATTTGAAGCATTTTGAAACTTTCTGAAGCAATGAATAAAATATATTCTCTTCTTCCTAAAAAAGCTTTATTCTGTCTCTTTTTGCAATACTATTTTTCTCTTTTTTTTGTTTTAATCCACTTTCTTTATTCTTTTTACTTTCTTTATCACCTCACTTTATGTCCGTACTTGTTTAGGAATTAAATCTCAGAGACTATCAAATCTAGATTATTGTCTAGAAGATATAGAGTCTTTTATTTCTTGGTAGATAAGATAATTCTTAAAAATGCACTCTCAAACAGCAAACAGGAAAATGCACTCTCAAACAGCAAATAGGGAGGAAAATCATCCAATGTGTCTCTTCTTCAGTTTTTGCCCTTCAAAATTCTTCCTTCTCTTCTCTTTAAATTGAACTCTTCCTTTTAGTCAGACTTTCATTTGATCTCTTTAGCATCCCTAGTGGCTCACCATAATGATCTATTTCATACTCATTTTTTGGAGACATGTTTAATTGGATTTTGATGTTCCTTTAACATGGAAACTTTGGAGTAGAAACTGAGAATGAGAAAATTTGGGAGAAAGAAAACTGGCTCCTAAGAAAATTCCAAGAGAGAAAGATTTGTTAAAATTCCAATCCGAGTTTTAACTTCCAAATGAATATATATATATATATATATATATTCAAAAAATAAATACACGTGCTCGTGCGCACGCGCGCGCACACACACGACCACAAAATAGTAGTATTTGTTAATGTAGATCTGAATATGTATTTATTTTGACATTATGGAGTAAATATAAACAAGAAGTATAATATCTGCTTCTCCAAGGATTTAGATCTCCAGAAATCTTACTGCACTGTGAGCAAAATATTTCTAGTTTTTTATTTCCTTTTATTCTGCTTTTGCCAAATCCCTTGCATCCATCACTATTGGTCTTTTAGTAAGCATGGGATGGTAGGGAGCAGAATTTAAGCACAGACGAGTATTATGACGGGATACCTATTAGTTTGTTTGGGGTGCTACAGAAAAATACCATAGACTGGGTAGTTTCTAAACAACAGAAATGTATTGCTTACAGTTTTGGAGGCGGGGAAATCGGAGATCATGGCACCATCAGATTTGGTGTCTGGTGAGGGCCTGTTCTTCATAGATGTTGCCTTCAGTGGGTCCTTACATGGTGGAAGGACAAAAAGGCTAACAAGCTCCCTCGGGTCTCTTTTATTAGGTTGCTAATCCTATTGGTGAGGGCCTGTGCTCATGACCTTAATGTCGCCAAAAGGCCCCATCTCCTAATGCCATCACCTTGGTGATTAGGCTTCAACGTGTGAATTGTGGAGAGACACAAACGTTCAGACCATGGAACCCATGTGTTGACTAGCACGTATTTTACTACCATTTCCAATTACAGATCAGCTTGTTGCCAATTTCCAGAAACACATCAACCTAGTGATATTTTACTTTAAATCATAAAATATGTATTTTAAAATAGTTTTAGTAAAATAATTTTTATTCTATTGGTATTCTTTTTTTGCAGCCTACACTGATTTGCAACATTAACTCTCAAGCCAGCTTTTTCTTCTCTTTGACTTTTTATTACATTTAAGATGAAAAAGAGTAATCAATAATAGAATGGTCTTATTGATAAAGACAGATCAATTTTAGAGTTTTTCAAGATAAATGTTTTAGCGTTTAAAGCTATACCACTCTAGAAGTACCCACAGTGAAATTTTACATGAAAAATTAAGAAACAAAACTAGGAGTCTTGAAATATCAAAGGGATAAACTTAAATTCAAGTAGGTTAATTTGTAAAAACAAGATTGCAAGAATCAACTGGAATGGTTTGGTTTGTTTTCTGAGGGGGTTACTTTTTTTCTTGTTGGTGAGTTGAGTGATGATTTATATACATTTATTATTATTATTTTGGGGGCCATCCTAAAAAAGACCCACTAAGCTAAACACCTGTATTTTAGAATAGAAGGCAATATTAAAAAGTATGTTCCAGTAAAGACATATACTGTTTGACTGTGGCTACTCCCATTCTCCTGTATGTCGATCTCATGAATTTCTTTTCAAATTCAGGATTCATAACCTATAACTACTATGAAATATAAAATATTTCCCTAAAATATGGAAGCTGACATCTAAAAGGACCCATTACACATACTGGGGCCTAAGAAAATAGAAGAATGCCATTTTATTTGAATTGCACTGATGTGTATAACTAGCTATTTTAATGTATCTAATAAGTGTAAAACAGAAGAACACAAGTTAAATTGTACCAAGAAGGAACTTGGTTTGGTAGCATGAAAATGTGAAGGGTGAGAAATTCCATCATGTGACAAAATGACTTTGAGGTGTCCCTTTGAAGTAACTACAATCTCTGTGGGCAGGGAGTTGGTTAATGGTTGGATGTAGTCTGGGCTGTTTGTGAAAAGGTCATTAAAATATACTCAATTAGGACTTGACTGTCCGGATTTGACAGGAGTAGGAATCTGCTGTGGAGGGTTCTCCACACTCCATTCCATCGCTCAACCCTTCTTTATAGATTAGGAAATAAGATTCACTATGAAGACTCAACAGGTATAACTGGGCACACCTTATCCTTGGTTTCTGATCTCGGTATATCCTGGTCCTTCAAGATTAGTTGGCACTTTCCTGACCTTCATTATGGCTGAAACTCTTAAGCAAGCTGTACATACCTGCAGAAATAGGCCACAGTACTCTTTGAGTTAGAAGTCTGTCGAGAAAATGCTGGATTGGGGTTACTGAAGCCTTTTGCTCCGGATGGGGACCAGCCCCTGTTGAGAGTAAATTTGGTAATCAGAGGATCCCTCTCGTTTCCTGCAAACAAAAACTGGAAAGAAGAGACAAAAATATGAGTAGAGACTCTTATAATTTCATTTGACCTTAACTCTCAGTGCAGTGGCCGGATCTCAGCTCACTGCAAGCTCCGCCTCCCGGGTTCACGCCATTCTCCTGCCTCAGCCTCCCGAGTAGCTGGGACTATAGGCGCCCGCCACCTCGCCCGGCTAGTTTTTTGTATTTTTTAGTAGAGATGGGGTTTCACCGTGTTAGCCAGGATGGTCTCGATCTCCTGACCTCGTGATCCACCCGTCTCGGCCTCCCAAAGTGCTGGGATTACAGGCTTGAGCCACCGCGCCCGGCTGCTTTTTTACTTTTCTATTTTCTTTACAGACAGGGTCTCGCTCTGTCACCCAGGCTGAAGTGCAGTGGCACCACCATAACTCGCTGCAAACTGTATTTTCCAGGCTTAAGAGATCCTGCCTCTCCTGCCTCAGCCTCCCGAGTAGCTGGGAATACAGCTCTGTTGCTATTGTTCCTCAAACTCCTGGCCTCAAGTGATCTTCCTACGTCACCTGCCTCAGCCTCCCAAACTGCTGGCATTACAGGCTTGAGCCACCACACTTGGCCAGTTCATTTTTTTAATCCATTAACTTCTTAGGCCTTTCTCTGGTTTGCTGTATTCTGTGGTTTTGAGGGTGGGATAATTACTTGAATATGAACAGGAAGCACTCTTCATCTGGTACTTACCATGGTCTACATACTAAACAGGGACGTTGTATTTATTATTTCTAACCTTTACACCAGCTCAGTAAGTTTGGTGTTATTGCAATTTTATAGGTAAGGAAACCAAAACTCCGAACGGTTACTCAATTTGCTTATGATCATAAAGATAGTAGGTCATAAAATAGGGATTCAAACTGAGATTCATCAGGGTCCAAAGTCAGGACCATCTCCTCAGCTCTACGCTGACATTCATTCCTCTTGTCCTTATCCATGCAGATTATGTGAGACTATCAGCTCTGGACAGTAATTAAGTACACGTTCAGAGAGGCAAGTTTGTTTAAATATTATAGGGGAAGTTACATCATTATATGCTTACCTTAATCCTCCTGCCTCCCTCCATCTCTGTCAAGCTCTGAGGCTCAGAAATACGGAGGCAAAGAGTGGAGGGGAAAGGATGTATGTGCAGTCAGACAAGTGACAAGGCTATGACTGTTTTTCCATTTTTATATACATTGATATTTTATGTGTCTATTTTTTTCTTGTTTCTATCTTATATACAAGCTAGAATTAACATCAATTTCCCCTCTGCTATGCTACCCCAACTCCATTTAAAATTCCCAACTTGATTATGTAAATTAAATTGCATGTTATTCATATTGCAATAGAAGAGTCAGAGAGAATTCTGACTAACTGGATTTGTTTCGGTGATTTTCTTTTTCCTTATTCTAGAAAGCTAAGTTTTTGGCATTTGGTAGTTTGCAAGACTGAAAGCAGAAGCGGCTTCCAGAAGAACCCCCTCCCCCGCCCTCTTAATTTTGTGAGAATCCAAGCCCACTGAAGAAATTATGCCAGGAAATTCAGAGCGGAAGGGGAAAAGAGTTAGTGTCTGAAAGAAGATACACAAAAGCAGAATTCAAGTTAAGGAGAATCTCAAGCCTGGGGAAAAAACAATAAGCTCATCTATGTAACTGGGACTGTGGCTGTTCCCTCTTGTGTTCTCTGGAAGGACTTCGAAACGTGGAGGATATCTTCATAGTAGGCACATTTGAGTAGCACCGTGTTCCTCAAGGTTCTCAATTCTAGCAAAGATTCCCATGAACACTGTGGTGCAGAGCCACAGAACCACTGGACTTGGGCATTCCTGCAAGTTGGACAGTGTTCATCTCATCAGTAAGTGTGGTCAGAATCTAGATTAAAGACTAAACAGCATGCTCTATTGAAGATGGGATGGGTGTGAAGAGGAGGGGATGGATTTGGGATGGATTCCCCCAAATAAAATTAATTTTAAGTGAAAGAAAATAATGTAGGCTGATTTTTTTTTTTGTCTTCAACATCCATTCTTTACCTTTTTTCCTCCCTGCTCTATGCCCCAGAGAATTAACCACTTTGAATAGCTTCTACAGACTTCTTTGCTCTGGCTTCCAGTTCGGTCCAGTCATTGGAGGGCACTGCAGAAGAAGAGAATGGAATGAATTGGGATATGTATTTCCAAGGATCCCTCCCTATAGTTTGATAGAGTCCCTTTCCTGAAGGCAGCAAATCCTGTCTGGGGCCCCTGTCTAGTCTGGGTTGGGTTCTGGAAACGATTTCCTCTCTTTGCACTCTCAAACCCTAGGATCTTTAAGCTTCCCTGTTGTTAGCCCTGAGGGTGCTTCATCATTCCTGGATGATCTCCCCTAATCCTCCCTACACATTTTAGTGTATTTTTTTTTGTTAAAACTCTCAATTAATTGCCTTTTATCATGCTTTTTCCTGCTGGGGCCCTGACTGATACATTATATGACTTTTTTTCACCACACACGGATATGTGGGCTATGATTCATATCTCTTCTATGTGCCTTCCCCCCGGCTCCCCTGCCACTGGAATTACCAAAGTATTTGTGTGGTCCATATCAGAGCCATGGGTAGATTACAACTCTTAGCACTGAAGCCAAATCATTTTGAAATTTTAGCACCAAAAGTCCCACATCCTGGGAAATGCCTTAGTCCCAGACAAACTGGATAACTGGTCAGCCTAGCTGTGACTCTGGTGTAGATTTGGGTGTGCACTTTCACAAGTCCCCAGTGATATGTGACTAGAGTACTATGGTGAGACTATCTGAAAGTTACTACACAATTACACATATAAGATTGTCCAGCAGAAGATAAATTAAATTAGGGTAAATACAATCCATTTTAGTGTTTAGCAATTACCTGGAGAATACTTTTTGGGGGGCATGACTATAAGACCATCATTTCAGAATGGATTGTTAAAAATTAAACTTCTGCTTGAAGATGGTGGAGTCATGTTGTCAGAATCCTGGGCACAAGGCAAACATCATTTCCCCAAACCTGGACATGCCATCTGACACATGGTTTAACATGATGGGACAGATGATAGAACCTGGAAAAGGCCACTTAGATTAAGCTGGAGATGATTACCTACCAGAAATTCAGAGTGTTTTTAGGAGACACAATTTCCATCCCAAGAGAAAAGACATTTCTGTCTTAAGGCTCAATAATGAGGTGGCAGGTAGCTGAGAAAGGAAGATGACCTCTGGAACGCCTGAGGGTGTCAACCTCAGGAAGCCACTAGTGCTCTCAAGTCATGTGTTTCTGAGACTAGTTCAAGGTACTTGACAGATGGTTCTGGGTGCTTAAAACCAAAGAAGATTGTAGGTAGACATCCCAAATGTTGCCAGAAAGCTCGGGAAAGCTGACTATATTCATAGTAAGGTTAACTGGCCCATTCAGCCCTGGTATGGGCAGGAGCAAAGCTGAGTATCCTTCTCTCTGCAAAGCCTAATCTGACTATACCTAATCCCTTTGCCAAACTTCTCTCAACTGGTGAAGCTGGTAAAAGAAACTGTTTCCTTCCATAGCAGGAGACAAGGTGCAGGCAAACAGATCCTTTTCTGTGGATTGACCCAAGGGCCCATGAGAGAGTTGATGGGGAATTAAGGTGGCAATTAAAATCTCTGAATGCTACTTTTCAAAGTTTTAGGTAACTGGGGCCCCTGGATAGCCACACTGGATACCCTTCTCTCATTCTCACCAGAGAATCGGCTTCTGTGAATGTTTGCCTGCTGGTACCCCCATTGAATTGCAATAGACTTTAACCTGCCGCCAAGGTGGTGGCCTGAGGCACCTGGAGAGAGCCTGGGACCTGAAAAAGACTGGCCCCATAGCAACACCAGCTCTACCAGTATCATTTTGAAATTTTAGCACTGAAAGTCCCACATCCTGGGAAATGCCTTAGTCCCAGGCAAACTGGATGACATGACTGGATAAACGAAATTTAAAGTCGTATGTCCTGGGTTTCAATTTTACAAGCTGTGCAACTTTAGACAAATTTCCATTTCGTTTCTTCAGTATCTTCATCCGTAAAAGGCAATGATAATAATAGTACCTCTTGCCAAGCATGGTGCCTTATGCCTGTAATTTCAATACTTTGGGAGGCTGAGGTGGGAGGATCGCTTGAAGCCAGGAAATTTGAGAGCAGCCCAGGCAACATAATGGGACCTTGATCCTACAAAATTAAAAAGAAAAGAAATTAGCTGTGCAGTGGTGCACGTCTGTAGTCCTAGCTACTCAGGAGGCTGAGGCGGGAAGATCACTTGAGCCTAGGAGTTCAAAGCTGCAGTGAGCTTTGGTGGCACCACTATACTGCAGTGTAGGTGACAGAGCAAGACCCCAGCTCTTAAAAAATAATAATTATAACGTTGTTGTGATGATTAAATGAGACAAAGTGCATAAAGTTCTTAGAATAATACTTGTCACAACCAAAATACCCAGTGAATGTGTGCTTACCCTCATCATCAGCAGGGACACATGTGTAAGATAGCTGTTTAGAGTTTAGGGGTGTGCAATCACCCTTCTTTTATTGTGCTTTTGAGGAAAATTTACATGCTCACAACTAACCACACAGTAAGTGCTTTGATGAAAAAGCTGAGTGTGTTTTGGGGTTCTTTAGGAGAGGGAGTTCCAGTGGGGCCACTCTTGTCTCAGTAGAGGTCACATGCAATTGACACCTCTTTTGCTTGACTCACTTTTGAGTCACAGCTCTGCACACTGTGCTCAGGAACTGGGAAAAGCTAACCAGCTCTTACCAGGTACTTTCTGTGTAACAGAGAACTGGTTGTGCTTGGGAAAGATTTTTAGACAACAATAAACTGGAAATTTGAAACAGGAAAGTACAGTCTAAACCTTCACCTGGTAATGGATGAAAAGCAAGGAGAGTGGCACCACCCTCTCATTCTTCCCCAAACATGGATGGATGTGAGCAGGGGACTATGACCCAAGGGTCAGGGAGAAAGGAGAAATGGAATGGCTTCAAGGATGAAGAGGCTTGACTGAAGATTTGGTTTGAATGAGCAATTCATGGCTTCCCACCAATAGAAAAACCTCATATCTCCGTTTAAGCCCCACATGGCTACTCCATTATCTGAGACTCCAAGTTCTGTGAGGCTAATATAGACTCTGAGTAGCCCTGTCAATGAGTGGATTTGGAACTGTTCTGGAAGAAAGAAAAATTTCCAAGAAGACTCAGTTTCTGAAAGGCACAGGCAAGAAATGTCCCCTGTGCTCAGCTCACATGTTCAGCTCTTGAGGAACTCAGAGAACTTATCGCCCCTCCATCCAGCCACTGATTTTTCTGAAGGTTCCTGTCCTTGAAACATCTCTCACTCAGGCTAAAAAAATGGTTTCTTTTTCTATGCTGTGAAGAGGACAACAAAATAGGTGTAAATTTTCTTTATAGAGATATATTAATTGATTATGGAAATGAGGTAGAACAATATTGAAGGCCGGGCGCGGTGGCTCAAGCCTGTAATCCCAGCACTTTGGGAGGCCGAGGCGGGCGGATCACAAGGTCAGGAGATCGAGACCACAGTGAAACCCCGTCTCTACTAAAAATACAAAAAATTAGCCGGGCGCGGTGGCGGGCGCCTGTAGTCCCAGCTACTCAGGAGGCTGAGGCAGGAGAATGGCGGGAACCCGGGAGGCGGAGCTTGCAGTGAGCCGAGATCTGGCCACTGCACTCCAGCCTGGGCAACAGCGTGAGACTCCGTCTCAAAAAAAAAAAAAAAAAAAAAAAAGAACAATATTGAAATATAATATTAAATTATATCTTTTTGTCAGCCTATTTGAGTGTCAGGTTGGATTTGATTTAATTTCATTTAAAGAAAATAAAATAATTTGACAATTCATGGATATCTCATTTTGTGAAGACTCATGTCCTCATTATTTTCTCGAAATCTTATTGAAACCATATAAAGTTCTGTAATAAGTGTAGATATCTTGATGACAGTTAATTTAGTATCTATCATGTGTTAAACCCCACTCTACAGAGCTAATTCTAACTAGTTAATATGTACACCCAGCCAGTTGATCACAAGAAGATTAGTTTACAGGGCATGAGCCATCAGTGTAACTCCAAAAATTTGCATTTCTTATGTGCATATCTTAAATAAGAGACAGGTATTAACAGTGTAAACTGTCTCAAGGCCAATTTCCTATTACTTCCTTCTGCCTCTACAGTGTCCCTGGGGAAATACTTTCTTTACCATTTAAAATTTTTTTTCATTCAATCTTTTAAAAAGAGGGAGGGATATGCGCTATTGTGAAAAGCTTAAAAAGTAAAGAGTTTGGCTGGGCGTGGTGGCTCACGCCTGTAATCCCAGCACTTTGGGAGGCCAAGGTGGGAGGATCATGAGGTCAGCAGTTTGAGACTAGCCTGGCCAACATGGTGAAATCCCATCTCTACTAAAAATACAAAATTAGCTGGGCGTGATGGCACACGCCTGTAATCCCAGCTACTCAGGAGGCTGAGGCAGAAGAATCGCTTGAACCCAGGAGGCAGAGGTTGCAGTGAGATGAGATTGCGCCACTGCACTCCAGCCTGGGTGACAGAGAGACTCTGTCTCAAAAAAAAAAAAAAAAAAAGTAAAGAGTTTATAAAAAGTGAAAATCTCCCTTTCAAAGCCTTCTCTCCAAATCCCACTCACCAGAGATAACCACTATTAAAAGTTTGCTTTACATAATTAGGTACAGTAATGACTTCCATAATTAGGTACAGTAATGAAAATATAGAAGGCTAGAGAGTCATGGTGATTAAAAAAATAAATAAATGGAGAGAAGAGAGGAATCTTGCTTAAGAACAAAGTTCTGAGTAACTGCTGACTGGTGAATGTGAAAGGCAAACTGAGTTGTAAATCAGCATTCAGCAACCATCGTGGCACTAACTGGATCAAGGTAAGATTCATCAATTTACACTAAATCAAGGAAGAAAATCTGATGAGGAGCAGGACATCTCCA